GATCAGCTAGAAGAATGGAGAATCGTTTACTGAAATGAAGTATTGTCAGAAAACATTTATTACTAAAACTAATTTTATTTCTGATTAGCCAGCTACTTTTTTAGTAGAATCACATCTTTTTTTTTTAACCATCCTTTATTTAATAGAGTTTCCTTGAAGGATTATTTTCTTTTTGGCCATTTTCTAGTAGAATTATGCTTTAAAATATTTTATTTAATAAAAAATTTTATGTATAAACTTTAACACTAAAAATTTTCAATCTAAATGTTTGTAAATTTTACTCTGTCATTCTCTGACTCACACAATTTCTTTCTAAGGTACTAGAGAAGGACAGACTCGTCTAATCAGAGATGGAGAGAAAGTCGAAGCCTACCAGTGGAGTGTTAATGAAAGGAGATGGATAAAAATCGGTGATGTTGTTGGGTCCTCTGGTGCTAGTCAGCAAATGTCTGGAAAAGTTTTATATGAAGGGAAAGTATGTCAACTTCTGCTTTCTAATTACCATTATCTTAAAGCATTTGACAAATTATTGGTTTTGTTTCCCTTTCCCCATGCTAATAAAATTTTCTTTGGTATTTTGACATTTAAAAATATATTTCAATGGGGAGATTCTCTCTGTTTTTGACTAGATTTTTTAAAGTATCTTTGCATGCAGAGAGAGCTCCTTTTGTGATGGATGCATTGGCCATGATTTGCCTTTTGGTAGTTGGGTGCATAAGCTATTCCCAACCATTTTGGGTTTGGCAATTCCGTGCCACCTTTCATCTCATGCTTCATGCCTAGCTATATTTAACTTGACAAGCTATGAGGGACCCTGCAGGGCTGTGCTTATAATGCTGGCATGTGTTTTATGAACATATTTTCAACAGCTAATACCTTTGGCCTTGAGATCAACTAATTGCCAACCAATCTTGGTTTTACAGTTAATGAGTTGTCATAATCCATCCCCTAAGTCTGCCCCAGTGAACTATCACTCTTACAGCACATGCAGATGGTTGCTATTAATCAGTATCTGCCTAGTAGAAGTTTTAATATTGTGCTTTGGAGAAAGTTTAACACTATCATTATTAAAATAACTCTGTGTTATATATGTCTTTAGTATATAACAGACAGTAATCATTCATCTCCTTTTTATATTCCCATTTAAGGAATTTGATTATGTTTTCTCAATTGATGTCAGTGAAGGTGGACCATCATATAAATTGCCGTATAATATCACTGATGATCCCTGGTTAGCTGCATACAACTTCTTACAGAAGAATGATTTGAATCCTATGTTTTTGGATCAGGTCACTAAATTTATTATTGATAACACAAAAGGTCAAATGTTGGGACTCGGGAACACCAGTTTTTCAGATCCTTTTACAGGTAAGTTAGGGTTTGTATTAAGTCTTATATATTAATACTCCCATCAGTGTTGATTATCTTTTGTGTGTGTGTTTAAACACCTATTATGATTAACTATTTAAATAAAAAAATAAAAAACCAAGATCTACAGCAGGATTTTGCTTCAGATTTACATCATTGAGCTTCAAATTATATAGTAATTTTGTATTTATAGAAATAATTGTAAATTGTTCTCTTTGAAAAATACAGCCACACTGTAAACTAAATAAAATTCAGAAACTAATTCAGCCATTTGAAATGAAAAGAAGCTTGTAAGTTCCTTTATGTTACTACTTAACGTTATTTTGGTGAAATTTATTAAATGGAAATTCTGTTTTCACATGGGGCTAAACAGGTTAGTTATGCATCAAATCTAGAACTGAACTGTGGGTAATTTTAGTTCATGTGTTATTTGTATTCCTCATGTTCATTTTAAGTCACTTGTTTATTACATAGTATACAGTGTTTAAAGTGTTATCAATAGGATTAGGTTTTCATACCAGGAGTATTATAACCCCAGTTGTGTTAGTTTTGAGTCCTCAAGTGGTGTTTAATTCTAGAAGTGTTAGCCTGAGTTCTAGGTCCTGGAAACCAAGGCTATGGTATGGGAGGAAATACAGTTCTCCCTCTTGTCTTAAATATAGGGTCAGCCCTAAATAAAAGTTTTTTTTTCTTCTCTACCAGCCCATGACAAGGCGATGATTGCTTCCAGTTTTCTCCCCACCCAACAGACTGCCTCTGTTCTGCCCATCAAATCTGCTCCGTATCTCTACCAATAGCACTGTCCTCCACCCCACTGGCCCAGACTTCGCTTGAACAGCATCCCGGTTCTTGTCATTTCTGACCTCATCTTTCATGCGCTGGTGTTCTTCCTTTTTACAAGGATTGCACATTCTGTTCTTGTCTCAGATCTTTTTTTTTCCTTCTTCCCTCACAGATGCTTCATGCTCCTAAATCATCTCTCCTTCTAGTTCAAAATTCTGTTGTTCATTCACATCATAGAGCTAATCTCAGCTGCATGTTGATTTAAACAGCGGTATCAGACTGAATCACTACAGAACTACAAATAATGGAACCCTCCCGGATGCACTTGACAGAAAAAGGGAAAAGAAAGCTTATATCTTGATATTTCTGGTTGGAATATCAGCCTACAGTACAAAAGAGTACTGCATTGTATAAGCTGTCTTGTGGGATAGATAGAGGACAGATGTTAAAGCAGCTGTCTGTGTCTGTAAATCTAACTGTCTATGCTTTTTTGCTCTTCTGAAACTCTATCAGCATCCTCAGATATATCTTTGGTAGATGCCTCCAATTATTTCCTTAGAGATCCTAACAAAACCTACTCACACATACCGCCTGTTTGTAAAGGAATAAATGGGAAATCTGCTTCCTTTGTGGCACTCGTCCCCTTTGTAATTTTCTTCTCCAGTAGGTTGTAAGCTTCAGTGGATACAAGCAATCTTGTTCCCTGCTGGATCTCCACACTGAATGTACTATTTGACACATGAATTAATGAACCTGGAGATTCTCTAAAAGATTAACATTTGCTGCCTGTGGTTTTGATAGCAACAGCAGCAGGAATTCTAGTGAATTTGTATAGGAACAGGGATTGATTGTATGGTATATTATTTAGGTCAGAGACCAACTCCAATTTATCTTTCTATATTTGGATTCCTAGTTATTTTACTATTTAAGTGCAGAAGCTAAAATATAATAAAAAGTATTAAAGTTAACAAAAACAAAACTTAGAGAATCACTGAAATTTTAGTTTTTTACTAACCAACTGTAAGACTTCTGACGATAACTCCTCTTATTCTGTCTTTTGTTGCCTTGCTCTTTTTTCTCCACACTTAGTGTCTTCTGATGTAAGCAGTGTGCTATTTATGAAAGTCAGAATTTTGACGTGCTTCAGATTTTCCTTTGTTTACATGCACAGGTGGCGGTCGGTATGTTCCAGGCTCTTCATCAGGATCTTCTAACACCCTTCCTGCAGCGGATCCTTTTACAGGTGGGAAGCAGTTTTGAGCAATATGACTTTCTTCCTGAAATACGTAATATTTTGCATTCTGTAGCTTAACATTTTGAAGATATAATCCATTAACTGGTAATTCCCTTATCTGTATTTCCAATTTCATGAATCTCCTTTTTAACTTCTTATTTTTCCTTTTCCTTGAGTACTTTTCTAGCTTTCCCTCCTGACTTTTAATAACATATTATTAAAATTCATCATTTACTCCAGTGGTCCTTCCTGAAAGGAGAGCAGCGTCATTAAAAGCCTAGATTTTAGAGTCAGACAGACCTTGGTTCAAAATCTGGCTCTACCACTTATGAGAAGTTGGCAAGTTACTTAACCTATCTGAGCCTATTTTTTTTTATCTGTGAAATTAGATAATAGGGGAATCCACCACCCAAGACACAGCATGAGTGCTGTCACTGGCGAGATGCTACTGATCATGAGCAGAGAAGGAGCCATGTGAGTCCTGGATGTTGGATGGAGCAGTGCAGTCAAGAAGTTTGCCCAGGCACATTTTGCCTTTAGCATGGAAGGAGACAGTCCACCCAGCTACCCAGGATTAGTCTTCCTAATCTAAGTTACTAATGACCTTCATGAAGCCCTGGAAGTGTTGGTGTAGCTCTTCAAAGTGACTTTATTTACCAAAGGTACGCATGCCTCAGCATCAACACTACTGGAAAAAAAATTGGACTTTAATGCAACTGAAGAATCTCTTTTCAGAATAGCATTTGATGTATTTTATGATGCTGTTTTTGGACCTTCAGCCAGAGTTCCTGGACAATGTACCAAATTTGGGAAGAGATTCATAGCATTTATGGTATCTATTGGTCCTGCAGACTTAGTACTGTGAGCCCTAAAAGTGATACCATATGGCCCTATCTAAACCATAGAAGGGACCAACACACAACCTTGGGTCATATCCTGAAGCTGTGAGCTGCTCTCACTAGGCTTCCCTTCTCCTAAGAATGCATTGGTGGCCCAGATGCAAATAGCTCTACCCTGTGCAAGTGTACCAGTGTACTACAGAAACCAACTATCAAGCAAAATGTTGTGATAGCATGATGGCTATTAAGGAAGTCTTTGGTGACCCTGAAAAGGTAGGAAAGATCTGAAAAGTAGATCAGACGATCACTTTCTCTGTCGGCATACTCCGGTACAGTGATGCCCTGAAACTTAGAACAACAGAGTTCCTGAATCTCATTAGCAGCTCTTTTTGGAACAGAAAGACTATTATACCAAGCTTCAAACAGTACCAACAAAGTCAAGAGAACAACTGGGGCCATCGTAACCGGAGCTTGTCTCACTGTTGCACAATATCAATAACTCAGAAGATTCACTGATATGGAGATATGCAAGATAGCATACTAAAAATCCAGGAGAATTCTGAAGTAATAGGTTAACTGATCCACAGTTATCAAAAAGATAGATAACATTTCCATATTGAGATGCTATAAAAAATTCTGTAGTACATGCAAAGTGTTTAGCAAAATGCCTGGAACATATTAATAATGTTTAAGCCCTCAATATATGTTAGCTCTTATTATTATTGATGTTGTACCTCCAGTTTGACCAATAGCCCTGGGGCCAGAAGATTTCTGCATCTTGCTTACAACTTAAGGTCAATCTTAATTCTTTGTTTTTTTCCTTATTTATGGAATGCTTGTTGAAATTAGTTATTGCAAGGTCCCACCCGCAAAAAATTCTGATGCACTACATTAGTGAGGAGGTTAAAAATACTTAAAGTCTGACCCCTTAGCCAGGAATTCTAATTAAGTGGTCTGTCTAAATTTTTTAAATATTTATTTATTTATTTTTGACCGTGCTGGGTCTTCATTACTGTCCATCGGCCTTTTCTAGTTGCAGGGCTGGGGGGCTCCTCTCTAGTTGCTGTGCGCAGGCGTCTCGCTGCCGTGGCTTCTCCTGTTGCAGATCATGCTGGGCTCTAGGGTGTGCGGGGCTCCATGATCGAGGCACATGGGCTCAGTAGTTGCAGCAGCTCCCAGGCTCTGGAGTACAGACCCAGTAGTTGTGGTACATGGGCTCCATGGCATCTTCCTGGACCAGGGATCAAACCGATATCCCCTCCATTGCAGGATGAATTCTTAACCACTGGACCACCAGGGAAAACCCTGATTAAGTGGTCTTGGATGCGGTTTGCTGTTTAGGTAGTTTTGAAAGCTCCCCATTGGTTTCTAAAATGAAGCTAATTTGAAGTACCACTAAGCATTTATGGGCAGGTCCTGGGAATCTGCATATTGAACCAGTGACTCTCATTCAAATTGGTCTGAAAACCACATTTGGCACAGTGTAGGACTACATTCTGCCTCATAATGCCTTGGGCAAATTATTCAGCCTTGCTTTTGTGAATTTTTATGAATAACAATGATACCTAATTAATATTTAAATGAATTCCTGCATATAAGATACTTAGCTTGCTAGCCAGCATATTGTGAAAACTCAGCAAATCCACTTACTCTGTGTTCTTCATGATTTTAACGAATGCCATTCACCTCTGTAGTTTTGTTTTTTAGTTTTGTTTGCTTTATCTGTATCTGTTGCACTGGTTATACCAACTCCTGAATGTTAAAATCAGAGGGGCTAGAATAATAAGTAGCTCATCTTCCTTCTTCCCACAAAAGCTGATCCAGGACTCTGAACATCTCCAAATTCTGCTGATTCTCTATACTTGTTTTTCCTGTCTCTTTCTTTCCATTGTCAATAAAGCAGCTACAAGTATTCTCAAATGTGAGACTGGGCTCTTATCATGGAATCTCTGACTCTTACCTAGTTTCTTTTCTGTTTGTCTTATATGCCAGCGAATCCTGTGTCTATATTTCAATAGAATAGTGTCCACGTTTTATAATGAAAACTTGTGACTTTCTCTCCAGTCTAATAGCCTTTGTAATTCATTAAACTTCTATAATTATAGTATATAAGGCATGTAATTACTTGAGGATAACTTCTCTGGCTAATTTTATTAGAATCTAACTACATGCCTGATAATATTCTAAGCATTTTGCTCTTTTAAATTTACAACCCATTTATTAAGCCCGTTTATTAAGATGTCATTTTGAAAGTGTAACTAATAATGAAAATAAGTCATTCTGTGTAAAGAAGGAGCAGTTTGAACTTTAGTATAATGTGCCATTACCCTGTGCTTACTGTGAGTATTATTGCATTTTAGGTGGTGGTCGGTATGTACCAGGGTCTGCAAGTATGGGAACTGCCATGGCTGGAGTCGATCCATTTACAGGTACACACTTTTCACTTCCTTTTCTTGTTTTTAGATTTTTAAAGTTCATTAGAACTTTTATGTAATAAAAGTTTAAGAAAATTGGCATCTTTTTCTTGCTGGAAAACATTTTATACAGTAAATCAAGACCAAACACTTTTCGAGTGTTCTCAGAATTGTGTCATTACCTCGTGCTGGAATCATCTGGGTAGCTTAGAAAAAGTCCTTCAGCCTCGTCCTCAGTGATGCTCACTTGATCTAATGTTGCTCTCGGTTGAGGTCTTAGCAAGGGTAGTTTGATGATTTTCTCATATGCAACCAGGATGGAAAAATGCTGTTCTGTGTTAAGGCTGGTTTCCTCAGTATCCTTACAAAGTCTTAGTTTGTTCCCATCTCTTCCTCTTCATTCTTACATAATGTGTTTAGAATGTTATTTACTGTATTACACATTGAGAGGACTCAGAAAGGAATTTGCTTTTACCATTTAGGCCTGGAATATTTGGCTTTCCCCTGAGCAAGCTTTTTTTTTATTCTTAGTATCTAGCATAGACTCCAACACATCTTAATCGTTCATCATTGTTGAATATATGCAGGCATGCTGTTTCCCTCTGTATTGACTGCCAGCAAAATGCAGAACTGAGTTTGTGGTTCACCTCTTGAAAGTTTGAGAGATCTCTTGGTGTATATATTTCCCTATTTATTATTTTTTTAAATTTATTTTATTGAAGTGTAGTTGATTTACAGTGTTGTATAACTTCTGCTGTAGAGCAAAGTGATTCAGTTATATATCAATATATGTTCTTTTTCATATTCTTTTCCATTATGGTTCATCACCCTAGTGGAATTATTGAATATAATTCTTTTGTAATGAATACGGTTCTCTGTGCTGTTCATTCAGTAGGACCTTGTTGTTTATTCACTCTGTATCATTGTCTACCTGTTTATTATTTTATATGAGAAATATAGAGAATATATGTGACATGTTATTGAGCACAATAAGAAGTTCAAAAACCCACCACTCTACTTGAGAACTAAGTTGGAATATGATTTTGTAAGCTATTTTTTCATTGTAAAAGTAACATTGGCTCGCAGTATTGAAGTTTAACATAGTGATTAATTAAGATTAAGGACTCTGGAGTAAGAATGCTTTGATTGAAGTCTCAGTTCCACTACTTTTTATGTGTTTTACCTTGAGCAAGTCATTTTGTTTCTGTCTTTTTCTCATTTGCAAAATTGTATCTACTTTCTAGAGTTGAAAGAGTTTAAAATTACAAAATATATAAAAATAATTTTCTACAAAATAAATGCTTAGTAATCTTAGTTGTAGCTGTTATACTACAAAAGAGTCTTAAATTCACAATATTTCCTCCCATTTTTCAGAAATTAAAGTCTTTTAACAATTTTTATATACTGGACCTTTATCTTAGCCATTGTCATCGCTCACCTAGACTAATGAAATACTGGCCTCTGAATTGGTCTCACAGTGGTCCTCTGTTTATGCCCCTCCCGTGATTAAAGCACCATTACAGCTCCCCATCGACTGTTTTCTCTTGCCTTGCATCACATTCCTTTCTGCCTCTTTTCTGCCATACTGACCTGCTTCAGTGTCTTGAATGTGGCATGCTGTTTTCTACCTTAAGAGTTTGGTACATGTTGTTCTCCTTTGGAATATTTGCACCTTTTGCATTGCTACTTAGACCACTAATTGTTTGGCTTTTCCCCTCCTTTTTCTTTTTTATTTAATTTTGCTATATAGTATTTACTAAATGACCTTAGTGAAACTTCCTGGACACACATATATGGCTTCTTGCTAGATTCTCTTCTCTGTCATAAGTTCTCAATGCATCCTGTACTTTTCCTTCAGAGAACTTTTCATTGCGCTTAATTGTTTGGACGATATTTGATTTGCAATTTCCTTACCACATCTAGACTCTTTAACAATCGGGAGTACAGGCAAATTTTTTATCTTTGGAAGCAATTACAATTAATTTTGTGCACTTAACTCATTCTTCATTTATCTAACTTCCCCCTTTCTACTTCTAATATACTCAGAAGATCAAAATGTTTTATTCACATTTTTGCACAATACCTTAATTTTACATCAGAACAAAAACGTTGTATAAATTTTGAAATGAAAGTAAGACATAAATTAGATTTAAATTATATTTTCATTGAATTAGCTTCATTTAACTTTATTTACTGAGTTTTCATCTGGTGGCTGTTTTGTTCATCATCAGATACAAAGTTAGTGTTACTATAATAGAGATTGAAGAGGTAAATACATATTCCCTTCAGGAACTTACAACCTGGGAGGGATTTATGAAAATGATTAGAGAATATGACAGTGCCTACTACATCATTTGGAATGAGAAGAGAGATCAGTTTCTCCTAGAGAAGGAGAAACTGGAAAGTTTCATAATTGTTTTGTATTCTTTGATCTTTTATTTATTTATTTATTTATTTATTTATTTTTTTTCATTTATTTTTATTAGTTGGAGGCTAATTACTTTACATCATTGCAGTGGTTTTTGTCATACATGAAATGAATCAGCCATGGATTTACATGTATTCCCCATCCCGGTCCCCCCTCCCACCTCCCTCTCCACCCGAACCCTCTGGGTCTTCCCAGTGCACCAGGCCTGAGCACTTGTCTTATGCACCCAACCTGGGCTGGTGATTCTTTGATCTTTTAAAAACTTTCAGTTTAGATTTATTATATGAACAAATATATGCAGTATATAAAATCTTATAGATTTGTTTTCTTTCTGGTTTTTTTTTTCTGAAGTGGGTTGTTATTGCTTGCACTGAATAGTTATATATCTCTAATTTTGATGACAAAAGTCAGAAAAATCTTGCTTTGGGCCATTCTGAATGATTTCACCTTCTATTCTGTAAACAGGGAACAGTGCCTACCAATCAGCTGCATCTCAGACAGTGAATATTTATTTTCCTAAAAAAGAGGCTGTCACTTTTGACCAAGCAAACCCTACACAAATATTAGGTAAGTTTATTTTTTTAATTTATTTAATTTTAATTGGAAGATAACTGCTTCACAGTGTTGTGTTGGTTTCTGCCATACATCCATATGAATCAGCCATAGGCATACCTGTGACCCCTCCCTCTCGAACCTCCCTCCCACCTCTGTCCCCATCCCATCCCTCTAGGCTGTCACAGAGCACCAGGTTTGTGCTCACTGCATCACACAGCAAATTCCCACCAGCTGTCTATTTTATGTATCATAATGTGTATGTTTCAGTGCTACTCTCTCTCTTCATCCTACCCTCTTCTTCCCCCACTGTGCCTCCATTGCTGCCCTGCAAGTAGGTTCATTAGTTCCATCTTTCTAGATTCCATATGTGTGCATTAGTATACCCTGCTAGCTCAGTTGGTAAAGAATCGGCGTGCAATGCAGGAGACCCTGATTCAATTCCTGGGTTGGGAAGATCCGTTGGGGAAGGGATAGGCTACCCACTCCAGTAATCTTGGGCTTCCCTTGTGGCTCAGCTGGTAAAGAATCCACCTGCAGTGCGGGAGACCTGGGTTCGATCCCTGGGTTGGGAAGATCCCCTGGAGAAGGGAAAGGCTACCCATTCCAGTATTCTGGCCTAGAGAATTCGATGGACTGTATAGTCCCTGGGGTTGCAAAGAGTCAGACATGGCTGAGTGACTTTCACTTTCATACAACATTTAAGTAAGTGTGTTTTAATTAAATACTTTTCTGACATATCCACAGATTCTGAGATGCTCTCTCAAGGCTCTTTCTCTCCTAAGCATATGCTGGGAACCAGGTGCTTACATGATAGAGATTTATATTTTGGTATTACACAACTGAGTCAACTAAAAATATACAACCTGATAATGGATATTAATAGTTTATAAGAAACCTTACACAAATCTAAGTAAATACTTTTTTATGACTTTACTGAGAAAAAATATTAAAAGGGAAAAATATCAATCCTATCCCCTAAATTCTTACTGTTTTCAGAAAAAAAATAAAACAAACAAGCAAAGCATTTAAAAGCAAAGATCTTGTCTGTAAATCTGAAACTGCTCAGTTGGCTTTGATTACTTTTTCTGCTAATTTATTTTCCTCCAAACACAATGACTAGGTTTTTCTTTTTGTTTGCTTTTGACTAAGAGTATTACTATGTTTGCCACAAAGATTATGGTGAAAGTCTATTGAGATAATGTACATATCTGAATATATGACAGTGGTGTTACTGTTTTGGAGGGGGTGTTGTTTTGCTTTGTTTTATTTTTTGTCATTATTTTTCATAACATCTTTATAAAAATCATAGGTCTTTTCTTAATTGCTTTTTTTAACAATAAAGTGTATACACACTTTTAGGCAACTTGTCATTTTTATACTCTTATAGAGATCTAAAAGATCTCTTACTTTTTGCATTCCCTAAATAAGATTTGTTTTAATACTCTGTTAAACAGCTTTTAATGCCAAAGAATAATGAAACAGATCCAAGTTTCCAGTTACAAATGGTAAAAATTTTGAAATTTTAACTTCTTTATTCTTTGAGATAAAGATTTTTGACGAAATAATGTTAGATGACTCAAAGTAACATTAATGATGACAAGGATGCTGATATTGAAGTTACATGTGAAGAATTTGAAAGAAATTGTTTCATGAAATGTGAATATGGTGGGAAAGGCAATATTTCCATTAAACATGTTTAAATAATGTGATGTCAAATGTACAGATGGAACTAAGTTAGTGAATTAAATACAAATACACATTTAGCTTTTTGACCAGGCTTCCCAGGTGGTGCCAGTGGTAAAGAACCCACCTGCCAATGCAGGAGACACAGGTTCGATCCCTGGGTTGGGAAGATCCCCTGGAGGAGGGCATGGCAACCCACTCCAGTATTCTGCCCTGAGAATCCCATGGACAGAGGAGTCTGGCAGGCTATCTATAGGTTGCAAAGTGTCAGACACAACTGAAGCAACTTAGCATGCACGCAGCTTTTTGACTATATCATAGACGTTGATGTTAGTTGGCTAAAAGTTATTAATTTTCTCAGTAAGAAAGTAGGGGATTGACTTATATGTGCTATCTAATACTGCTTTGAAAAGCATTTAAAATGATAACAAATATAGTATACTTAAAAACTTACTCAAAAACTTAGAAGTCTTAGAGGGTAACAAAGAAATCATCACAGTAATCTTTCTTTTTCTATACTGTACTTAGCTTAAAAATACTCACGGCCTTATTTTATGGTCTTTGATAATTGCTGTGAAAAATCTTACCTCCCCATGGTGTGTGGTAGCGTGTTCTTATTGAAAACGTTGGCACTTTGTATTGTATGTGACTAATTACATTTAGAGAATACTGATGGTTTGCATTTGGTTCTAGGTAAACTAAAGGAACTTAATGGAACTGCATCTGAAGAGAAGAAGTTAACTGAGGATGACTTGGTACTTCTTGAAAAGATACTGTCTCTAATATGTAATAATTCTTCAGAAAAACCCACAGCCCAGCAACTTCAGATTTTATGGAAAGCTGTTAACTGGCCTGAAGGTACAAAAATACTTTTAAAAATGTAACCAGGAAGCAGAGAGTATATCTTTTTATTCCTATCCATACTACTGGTGTTTTTAGATTAAATAAAAGTTAAGGTGGTAGTTGAAATTTGCATTGAAAAAAACTTCACAGGATTCACTGTACCGCTCTAGTCCATAGTCTTCTCTGGTCATATACCTATGAGAATCTGAAGGCAGTGTGATGATCCCCATACATGGACCATTTTGTACACTCTTCCAGAGCATTTGTGAATCCCCTGCGAGTCATACATGAAACTCTTTGTGACCTGTTAACCATAGGCTACAAACATTTGCTCCAAGTATTTTTTCTCTTACTTAATTTACTTAATTCTTTTTTATTCCAAAGTACCATCTTTCCTATTGTTTTTTCATATGATTGATTTATTGGAGGAAAAAAATCACTTTTCTTGCAGAATGCCCCATATTTTGAATTTGACTGATCACTTAATGTGTCCATCTGTCTCTTGGTTTTCATGTTAGACGTAATTAGATTCTGGTTCAGTAGTTTTTTTCAGGTGAATACCCTTTATAAATGATGTTGCATACTACCTTTATATCCCAGGGCCCATAATTTCTGCTTTGCTCACTTTCAGTGATAATAAAATTATTTGGAGCATTCATTCTTGTTCAGTCACTCAGTTGTGTCCGACTCTGTAACCCCATCGACTGCAGCACGCTAGGTTTCCCTGTCCTTCACCATCTCCCAGAGTTCTCTCAAACTCATGCCCATTGAGTCAGTGGTGCCATTCAGCCATCTCATCCTCTGTCGTCCCCTTCTCCTCCTGCCTTCAATCTCTCCCAGTATCAGGGTCTTCTCCAATGAGTCAGCTCTTCACATCAGCTGGCCAAAGTTTTGGAGCTTCAATCAGCATTAGCACCTTTCAATGGTGGCTCAGCTGGTAAAGAATCCGTCTGCAATATGGGATACCTGGGTTCGATCCGTGGGTTGGGAAGATCCCCTGAAGAAGGGAATGAGGAGAATACTCCAATATTCTGGCCTGGAGAATTCCATGGACTATATAGTACATGAGGTCTCAAAGAGCCAGACACGACTGAGTGACTTTCACTTTCCTTTAGGATTGACTGATTTGATCTCCTTACAGTCCAAGGGACTCTCAAAAGTCTTCTCCAACAGCATGGTTTTAAAGCATCAATTCTTCAATGCTCGGTATGCTCTCAGCAGTATGAAAAGAGCATTCATTCACTTGGCGTCTATCCAGTCCCTTAACTGTGTATCTCTCCACCAACATATATAAGCATCCTATTAGCATTTGTCAACTAGAATTCTTTTATAAAGAATTTTCCCTCCTCAATTCTTTGGTCTTGTTTTAGGATTTTTTTAAAAGCGAGTTCCCAGTACTATTTTTTTCCACAAGTATTTATTGAATACTCACTGTATGTCAAGCTATCGTAATAACCCAGGAGAGTTACCATGTTTTAAAGCAGATGTGATCTTAGAGCAATAATTACAGCCTCTAGAAATATGAAAAATCAGTTAACACAAAATTTAGAAATATATGCAATTTGTAAAGCAGGCATATGATTTTTAACATGTTTAGTTTCTTAACAATAAATTTTTCTTTTTCACAGATATTGTCTTTCCTGCCCTTGACATTCTTCGGCTGTCAATTAAACATCCCAGTGTTAATGAGAACTTCTGCAATGAAAAAGAAGGGACTCGGTTCAGCAGCCATCTCATCAGTCTTCTGAACCCCAGAGGAAAGCCAGCAAACCAGCTGCTTGCTCTGAGGACTTTTTGCAATTGTTTTGTTGGCCAGGCAGGACAAAAGCTCATGATGTCCCAGAGGGAATCACTGTTGTCCCATGCGATAGAACTGAAATCAGGGAGCAATAAGAACATTCACATTGCTCTGGCTACGTTGACCCTGAACTATTCTGTGTGTTTTCATAAAGACCATAACATTGAAGGGAAAGCTCAGTGCTTGTCAGTAATTAGCACAGTCTTAGAAGTTGTACAAGACCTCGAAGCCACTTTTAGACTTCTTGTGGCTCTTGGGACACTTATCAGTGATGATTCCAACGCTGTACAATTAGCCAAGTCTTTAGGTGTTGATTCTCAAATAAAAAAGTATGCCTCAGTATCAGAACCAGCTAAAGTAAGTGAATGCTGTAGACTTATCCTAAATTTACTGTAACAGTGGGGTAGGGGACTGAGATTTTAATTTGATGAGTGTTTTTTTTCTTTCACATTTCACATGACTGATTACAGATGATGAAACAAATGCTGTGGATTAAGTAAAATTTCAGATCCTGTAAAGTGGGATAGTGGGGAGAGGGGAAACAAAGGAGAAATAAAATTTTTGCACTGATGAACTGTGAAATTTTCCTGTGTAATGTGGGTAGGTTTTTAAGAGCTTTAGAGATAAATTAAGAATGAGCTATGACCACCAACAACACAACGACAGTGGCAGAATTCCCTTACATTAGCCACCTAGAAGCAAAGGGCTTTTACTTATGTAATCTGCTTTTGCTATTATACTTGTATACCCCAGATTGTTATTTGTTGGTGGTTGTCTTTTATTTAATTTCCACTCTTCATTTTCATTGCTTGATTCAACAGCACTGATTGATTTCAAAGTCTTGTTTTAGGACAAATGCTTTAGAATTAAAATTATGTTTGTTATAAATTATCCCATATATTGAGAAGATATAAAATAATTTCTTCATTTAAGTCCTTTGTAAATAGAAAGTTTGTTTAATGGCTTATTTTTAGATGAAGTGAGAGCAAGTTACTAATTTGTTAGGTATTTGAAAGCAAATTTGTTAGGTATCAGTTCAGTCAGATGAAGCCCCAAATTGACTACAAGTTTATGATCCAGTTTCTTTTCCCCTTCACTATTTGGGATAACTTGATTATTCCAGTTTGAAAAATAATCTGATTATTTTTGGTCATTTCTATATATCAGATGAAGTTTGGAATGTGTTGAATATTAGGCAGTTGTGCAAGCAAAAGTATATCAAACTAAGTCCAGAGACTGTCATGGGAAATTAGTATTTTTGAGCCCCTAAACATGGTCCCATTACTGTGTTGAACACTTTGATATTTAATTCCCAAATCTCCTTAAATGTAGGATGCTGTTACCTCTGTTTTCAGAAGTAAAGATGCTGGGATGAATCATGATGGAAAAAAGGAAAAGTACATACCATTATATACTTCCTAGAGAACGAGTTGGGAAGGGGAGCATATCACAAGTTTGTCTATGAACATCCTAGCAACTAATAGCAAGTAGGAACCAATCCATTAATTACTAATTTATTGTTTAAGAGGACCTCAATTTCTTGAGAGAAGTTTGACTATTCCTAATCTAAAATAATGAGCATTATTGCCAACATTTATGGTATATAGAACCATGAATTTCCTGACTTAATGCCAAATTATAGTCTAAGAAGAACAATTTTTACTCAAATAAGGAAGGAAACCATTTTAATTGTCTGGATTAATTCAAGGTAAAACTTCTGGCATATCAAAACAGAATGGGTAAAATGTAAACTGAAGGGACATATATTTTGCTAAGTATTAAACTGCCATTTTCTGGTGCGTACCCAGACTTTAAATATTGTTTGCTGGTCCCGTTAGTAACCCATGCTTTGCTTTTTGCTTAATCGGGATTTAAGGGGTTAAGTCCAGGTTAAATGACTGAGACTATAACCTGGTTCAGCCTGGTTCGTTTACAATGCAGTGCTTTGTTTTTAACATCTTGTTTAGCATGCAATTTTAAGTACAGTTTTCTGCAATATTTTGAAATACTAGGCACCTTTGTATAATGGTAGGATGGAGAGTCTTGTTAAGAGTAGATTACTGAGTTACTTTTCCCATGATTATTTTTCTCTGAACAGAAGAATACACGTTCATTGAATCAGACCGACACACGTTAAATAAGCTCGGCCATAATCCCAGCACCCAGAGAGACCGCTCTGACCTAACATCTTGTGCCACATCGGTTGGTAGGTAAACATGTTTCATTGTTTTAGAAAGGACTGTATGACACACATTGTTAAATAGCCTGATTTTTTACCTTGACATTTAGCACACACATTTCCATCTTAATAAATATTGTCTTATATCCATGTGCCCATTTCCTATTATCTGACATTGTTTCCAATTTCCAACTATTAAGCAATGCTATGACAATACAAAATTCATACAAATTCCTTAGGATGCATTGTATACTTGGATACAGTGGTGGGTGGGTCAAGTCAGTGCACATTTTTAAACTCCGATAAATGCTGTCCAATCCCTTCCAGTGATAAAAGTCTTGTGGTTAATGTCCATATTGCATTAGAACTAGTTGCCTGCAAAAGATATGTATCTTTGCCTCTAGTTCATAACTATTACAGTCCCTCTGGCATTAGATTTTTTTTTTTTAATTTAGCTGCACTAGATCTTAGTTGTAGCACGCAGGATATTCTCGCATTGAGTTCAGTTCAGTTGCTCAGTCGTGTCCGACTCTGCGACCCCGTGAATCGCAGCCCGCCAGGCCTCCCTGTCCATCACCAACTCCTGGAGTTTACTCAAACTCATGTCCATCGAGTCAGTGATGTCATCCAGGCATCTCATCCTCTGTCGTCCCCTTCTCCTGCCCCCAATCCCTCCCAGCAACAGGGTCTTTTCCAGTGAGTCAACTCTTCACATGAGGTGGCCAAAGTATTGGAGTTTCAGCATCAGTCCTTCCAATGAACACCCAGGACTGATCTCCTTTAGGATGGACTGGTTGGATCTCCTTGCAGTCCAAGGGACTCTCAAGAGTCTTCAACACCACAGTTCAAAAGCATCAATTTTTCGGCGCTCAGCTTTCTTCACAGTCCAACTCTCACATGCATACATGACCACTGGAAAAACCATAGCCTTGACTAGATGGACCTTTGTTGGCAAAGTAATGTCTCTGCTTTTATATACTATCTAGGTTGGTCATAACTTTCCTTCCAAGGAGTAAGCGTCTTTTAATTTCATGACTGCATTCTTGCATTATCTTTTTAAAAAGAATATGTTAGGAAATTCCCTAACATTTGGTCCAGTGGTTAGGACTCCATGCTTCCACTGCAGGGGGACTGGGTTTGATCTAGGGGAACTAAGATTCCACATGCCACATGGTGCAGCCAAAAAAATAAAAATAAACAGGTATGTTATGACTTCATGACTAGCTGAATTTATAAACAATACACAACAACAACAAAATTTATGTATCTTATAATCTTAAATGATTGAAGAGGCATAGCTAAAAACATTCTTCACAAAGATAATTCTGAAGAAAAGACTGGGTTGTAGCTTCCTTAACAGTTATCACTGTATTATGATTATTTTGTGAAAAATGATAAACTGTGTAGAGGATTGTGACATAATCATTCTTCTTAGAGGTTTTAAGATAGAAATTATCCACCTGCCCCTGAGAGTAGGAAATACTGTTCAATCATTTTTAAAATAATTTATAATTCTAATTTCTAGTGCATTCTTCTATAGAAAACTATACACAGTATCTATCTGGACTGCTACAACAAAAATACCATAGATTTGGTGACTTCTCATAGTTCTGGAGACTGGATGGTCCAACATAAAGGTGCTGGCATACTTGGTGTTTGGCAAGCCATCTTCCTGGCTCTTATGCTGTCTTCTTCCTGTGTCCTGGCATGGCTGAGGGAGGAGCGAGCTCTCTGAGACCCCTCATTCATGCAACCTCCACTCCCCAGATCAAATGACCTCCCAAAAGCGCCACCTCCAAATACCATCACATAGGGGATTGTTTCACATATTTTGAGGGGACTAGATCTGATAGAGTGCCTAATGAACTATGGATGGAGGTTCGTGACATTGTACAGAAGACAGGAATCAAGACCATCCCCAAGAAAAAGAAATTCAAAAAAGCAAAATGGTTGTCTGAGGAGGCCTTACAGTACCTGTGAAAAGACGGGAAGCGAAAAGCAAAGGAGAAAAGGAAAGATACACCCATTTGAATGCAGAGTTCCAAAGAATAGCAAGAAGAGATAAGAAAGGCTTCCTCAGTGATCAATGCAAAGAAATAGAGGAAAACAATAGAATGGGAAGGACTAGAGATCGCTTCAAGAAAATTAGAGATACCAAGGGAACATTTCATGCAAAGATGGGTTCGATAAAGGACAGAAATGGTATGGACCTAACAGAAGCAGAAGATATTAAGAAGAGGTGGCATGAATAAACAGAAGAACTGTACACAAACGATCTTCACAACCCAGATAATCATGATGGTGTGATCACTCACCTAGAGTCAGACATCCTGGAATGTGAAGTCAAGTGGGCCTTGGGAAGCATCACTATGAACAAAGCTAGTGGAGGAGATGGAATTCCAGTTGAGCTATTTCAAATCCTGAAAGATGACGCTGTGAACGTGCTACACTCAATATGCCAGCAAATATGGAAAACTCAGCAGTGGCCACAGAACTGGAAAAGGTCAGTTTTCATTCCAATCCCAAAGAAAGGCAATGCCAAAGAATGCTCAAACTACTGCACAATTGCACTCATCTCACACGCTAGTAAAGTGATGCTTAAAATTCTCCAAGCCAGGCTTCAGCAATACGTGAACCATGAGCTTCCAGATGTTCAAGCTGGCTTTAGAAAAGGCAGAGGAACCAGAGATCAAATTGCCAACATCCGCTGGATCATCGAAAAAGCAAGAGAGTTCCCGAGAAACATCTCTTTCTGCTTTATTGACTATGCCAAAGCCTTTGACTGTGTGGATCACAATAAACTGGAAAATTCTGAAAGAGATGGGAATACCAGGCCACCTGACCTGCCTCTTGAGAAACCTGTATGCAGGTCAGGAAGCAACAGTTCGAACTGGACATGGACCAACAGACTTGTTCCAAATAGGAAAAGGAGTACGTTAAGGCTTTGTATTGTCACCCTGCTTATTTAACTTATATGCAGAGTACATCATGAGAAACGCTGGGCTGGAGGAAGCACAAGCTGGAATCAAGATTGCCGGGAGAGATATCAATAACCTCAGATATGCAGATGACACCACCCTTATGGCAGAAAGTGAAGAAGAACTGAAGAGCCTCTAGAGGAAAGTGAAAGAGTAGTGAAAAAGTTGGCTTAAAACTCAACATTCAAAAAAAAAAAAAAAACTCAACATTCAGAAAACTAAGATCATGGCATCTGGTC